GGCAATAAGGGCGCGCATTCAAGTGTAAGGATGGCATTAAACCTGGAAGGAAAAGGCGGTACAGTTAAATGTCAGCGGCGCCTTTATCCAGGTCGTTGGCTGTTTCCCACGGTTTGGTGATCCATTAGGACTGCGAAAGAACGAATATTAAGGCACAGTTATTGACACTTGGATGAAGTGTCAAGATAGAAGAAAATGATACACAGTGACTCTTAAAAAATATATTGGAACATATCCTACATTAAAGAAAGCCTATCTTTTTAAAGAACACCTGTGCCCAGGCTATGCACAACTATCTACATATTCTAAACAAGCAGTAAAATCACTTTAAAATAATCCCTTATTTACCGTAGCTACAGACATTATGGAGAAATAAATCTTCAAAGTTCACAACAAAGGTGCTAAAATCTTTTTTCCTATTTACTTTCTATAAAAGCAAAATCTTGACAGTCTGCCAGCCTTCTAATGTAAACACAGCTGGTGTTTTTAAGTTGTTTGTAGAAGGTAGTAGGGAACTGTCCTTATGTCAATTTTTTTTTAGTATGTAGGTAGGCAAATGCTTTTAACTTGTGCCTGTTAGTTTTGCTTGTTGGACCACAAAGTGGTGAGGTGACTGCTGCTTTGCTGCTGGCACCAGAGAAGGGTCCTGTTTTGCTTGTTGGACCACAAAGTGGTGAGGTGACTGCTGCTGGCACCAGACTAGTGGTCTGTCGCCATGGGCTCCAGGCACCATTTTGGGGAGGCTTTGAACTGACTGGACTGGCATGCTCAGATAGATAGTGGGGAGGTACTGATACCAGTATCGGTATCAGTGCCGATACTGGGCATTCCTACAAGTACTTTCTAGGTTGCCACTGGAAAAGCACCTTGTCCTCATGCCAATGGGGACAAAGGCCCTTTCCCACAAGTCCTGGGTTGGTTGTGGGGGTGTGGGCAGGGGGGCTTATTCACATTGGGTACCGCTTTAATAAAGGGGCATCAAGATGCACCAACTTCCCTTGTGAATGAGTAGGGGGTACTTGTACCACTACCCAGTCACCAAAGGGTTAACATATATTGGAAATAAAAACACCAGACTTTAGAAAAAATCCATTATTTAAAAAATAAACAAAAGACAAGTTTTTGAAAAGTCCTTTATTTTTTTAAAAACACCAAAAATGGATCCACCAATGTAATCCAGGGTCAATCACCTTGTCCAGCATTGTCCACGATGACGACAACTCGATGAAAGAAAAATTAAATAGAAATAACAAAAAAAAAGAACAACGCTGGCCGACCCGTCTGCTCGCAACAAACTACCGACGATGAATGGCATTCTGATAGATGCAGGCAAAATATAAACAATTGGGCGGAGCTAGCGGTGACAGCTAGCTATCTCCCAACTGTTTAGAGCTGTACGGCATCTGACAGGTGAGCCATGATGGGCAAAGTCATCATGACTTTGCCCAATCATGGCTCTTCAATGCACTGTGCCGTGATTGACCTGTGGTCAGTTGCAAGGCTTTAGCCAATCAGGGCTTCACAGCGCAGCGCCTTGTGGGGAGCTCGGCGGGCGAATTGCCCACTGAATGCCCTGTTAGTTTGTGTGTTCGCTGAACACATGAACTAGCAATGTTCGAGTGAAACTCTTGGTCGACTCGAGCATCGAGCCCAACACTAGTAGTAGTTAATGCAGCTTCATCTTCCTGAGCAAAACACCAACAGGGTTATTCACAAAACTGCTGAAAGCAGCCGAGCGAATAACCGAGCCAGCAGTGACAGCTAGCTCCACCCAACTGTTTCCTATTGGACGGGCCAATGAATAACAACTAGGCGGAGGTGGCCGTGGCGTCACGGCCGGCTCCACCCAGTTGTCATTGTTTAATGACAGTTCAGCGTCCCCAGGTCGTTCGGGGACGCTGATCTGTCATTACAACGGGGCGGAGCCAGCTGTGAGATCACAGCTGACTACATCCAGCTGTCATTTGCAGGGTGAACAGCCGGCCTTCGGCAGGCCATTCATCCCGCTTTGGCTGTCACTTCGGCTCAGTCGAGCCGAAGCATATGCCTTCGGCTCGGTTGAGCCGCTCGGCTGCCTAGGTCTGCTGTATGGGATATAGTGAATAGCCCGTGCAGTAGCCCTTCGGTTCTGCCGAACCGAACGGCTCTGGCAGCTAAAGAGAGCAGAAGGGTCAGCCAAACCTACGGCTGGATCCTTCAGCTCCTCCGTGAATAACCCCCCAAGTTCCTGCAAGGTCTGAGCCAACCTATGGCTTATCAACCACCGCCAGTTCCTCCTTGGTGAATCTTACAAGGTTTAGGTTCCACTCCTCCCAGAGAAACTCCTCCAGCAAGGCTGTGACAGCCTAGACCGCAGACTCAGGCCTTAGTCGAATAGGACATGCTTGGTCTACGTAGGCAGCAGGCCTATGAGGACGAGACTTTCAGCACACGCCTCCCCAGGCAGGAGGTCTGGGGGAAATAAAGCTTTGCACAGGTTTTTCCAATTATTTATACCCTCCCCCAGCAGGCCCCTCTGGCAATAACTGCCCTATTGGTTGGCCAGGTAGACATTAATATACATAGCTCATCAAAAATCTTCTTGCTCTAGACCAAATGCTGCATTTAAATAACTCTAAAGTAGAGTTACACTTCAAATATTATTAAGCATATTATGAAAATCCTCAGTAAAGGTGCTTCTGGCATTTCTTCCTAGTACAGCTAACAAGATACCAACCCCGCTAATTCTTCAATAACAGGTTGTAACACATTTAGTAATATCTTTACGCAGTGCCTTCTGGTGTATGTTTCCTTATGACAAGCATAGACAGCTGTACTTTTTTACTTACATATTGCCCTATTTGTTCTTTTTATTAGGACAGTCCCGGCTTGTGCTTCTGCCTCCTCCAGAGCAATGATGCTGCCATGTGACCTTACATTGTGCAACAGCGTAAACGCCACTTTATTTTTACACTTCTGGTTACTTATACAGTAGACTTTTCACTTCAGTACTTAAAACAGTGTGGATAATAGGGTGTATAGTCATTGGTCTTCGTTCTACCACTGACAAAGGTATTAGTATGTCTTGGAAGTGGCTGTGTTAATGGAGGCTTGCTCAGGTCATGTGTGCCCCCATAACATTTGCCTTTTGTTGTAATAAATAAACAAAAGACCTATTCAGGCTGAAAGTGTAAATAGGGTCTAATATCTGCATCTACTTTATTTTGTCTCTGAAACCTTCCTTCACTCAGTAGATCCTATAGCTGAACTCCAGGCAAATAGTTAAAGAAGAACTCCAGGCACAACTTCTATAAGCCCTCATTCACACGACTAACAGCCGACCCGTACAGATCCGTGCTGTGTGCACGTATCGGGCCGCTCCTGGGTAGGACAGGTGCTGCATGTGATTTGATGCATCGCCGTACGCTCACCCGAACTGCATGTACGTGCGGGTGTCCCTGCTCGAACGCAGACAGGATCCATCCTGTCAGCGTACGATTATGGACACCCACACCCACACATGCAGTTCGGGTGAGCGTATGGCCGCGTACTCCCATAGATAAGAACAGGCTGCTGCATACAAATCACACGCAGCACCTGTCCTTCCTGGAAAGGGCCCAATACGGCCTTGCAAGCAAAGGACTAACTTTTTTTTTTAGCACCTAGTCAAAAACAAGCAGTTAATCCTGGCAGTGCGGGGGTAGCACCACTGCATGGTTAGCTCTGTGTGGGTGCGGGTGTCTGTACTCATACGCTGACAGGATGGATCCTGTCTGCGTTCAAGCAGGGACACCTGCACCCCCACGGACATGCAGTTTGGGTGAGCGTACGGTGGTGCATGGTGGCATACTCCCAAAGAAAAAAACAGGCTGCTGCGTACAAATCACATGCAGCATATGTCCTTCCCAGGAGCGGCCCGATACGGCTGTGCACTCAGCATGGATCTGTACAGGCCGGCTGTTAGTCGTGTGAATGAGGGCTTATACTCACCCAAACTTCTAAGCCGGCTCCCTGCTTCTCCAGTCTCTGAAGCCTCTCCCCTCCTATGCTGCAGCTTTGAAATGTTCCTCAACCTCCTCACATCTATACACTATTTATAGAACGTGATGATTTACGGAAGGACTGGCCTAGTAGCAAGCCGGCTCTGTGATTCGGGTAAGTATAACTTTTTTTTTAAACACCTAGACAAAAATTAACCGTTGCAATGCGGGTAGCAAAGTAGACACCCTCCAGAAGGAAGGACAGTTTCAGCACCAATTCAGAGATGATTTGAGGATCTATAGCTGATTGATACACAAATAAGATTTAACTCCTTTTATTAGTGTCTCTTAACAATGTTATCACATAACCCAAAAAGAGGAGCTTGTATAAAAGGTCATCATAAGTTAGGTAGGGCAGCATGATGTCTAAATACGGCCTTGGATACACCATTTCTCAGCAGCACTGTTCAATATAAAATTGCAGGCATGTTGTAGTGCAATGACTACAGGTGGTGGAGGAAGAACAGCTTTACAACAGCTATACCCTGTGCAGCTAGAGTCAGGTAATATATGGGTTACTGAACCTGGCTTCAGCCTGTGAAAGAATTCTATTTTGGTAACTGAAGATTAAATCCCTTGCAACAATCTGGAATCCGAGAAAAGGAAACCATTGCTCAGGGGCTACAGATGTTTTTTGTTCTCTTCAAGTAAAAAGGCAGTTATCTTTCATTATGATCCTCAAAGACAACACAGTTCCTATAGAATGTCTGGTAATTAAATTGTCATCTTTTCTGCCTTCCCCGATTGGTTTATATTTCTCTTTTGGTGGTCTATGCTTTGTTTGATATGGTTTGAGAGGTTCACAGATTTTGTGATCAAAGGTCATAAAGTACTTTTTAACACTCTGAAGCCTCACACAGTCAGATGGTGTAAATATCCTACCATGTCTTCCAAAATTGGGACAGTTGCAAAGAAAGCTTTAAATCAAATAGTAAAATGACTTGATTTACATTTTTATTTGTTCTCTCTTGATTCTCACAGGTAACTACCCTGGTGAACACCAGTAGCAAGGGCCCCTCCGGTAAAAAGAAAGGTCGATCTAAAAAGGCCCACGTGCTTGCAGCATCGGTGGAGCAGGCAACCCAGAACTTTCTGGAAAAGGGGGAACAGATTGCTAAAGACAGTCAGGACCTAAAAGAGGAGCTAATCTCCGCTGTGGATGATGTTCGGAAACAAGGTACGAGTGTGGGTTATGTGGGAGGGATGTCTTACAGTGGACAATATAGACATAGGGTCTATTTATAAAGCAGCAGTATAGCCTTACCATACCATACCACTCATCAAGGCTCCACTGTGTGGTGTGCTCCTAACCCTAATCTATGTGAGCCTCCATCTTGGAGCATATATAGCAATGGATAAATTGAGTTCAGGTATGCTTCCAGTTCTCCTTAAATGCACAAGGACACACCAGAAGCTTGACAGAGCTCAATGGCAGTTAAAGACCCCTGTGTGTCCCCACACAAAGTCCAACAATCATTAAAGGAGAACTATGAGGCAAATGATTTCCACTCATCCTCAAAGTTAGAGCGACCTGTTACAAAGAAGCTGTCACAGGTGGGCTCTATTGATCGGGAAGTGAGCGAACACATACCATCACTCATTCACTTTCCGATCATCTCCCTGCAGAGAGTGGTGACAGTCAGCCAGCACTGAGTGGAGGAACGGACGAGGTTGGGGGCGGACATAGCTGGCTCTGCCTCTAGATAGGCACAGCCAGCTATCACTCATGCAGCTGGGTGGATCCAGACAGTATTGTCAGGATCTGTCCCGGCTGCGGCGTTCTCAGTATATCACGTGCCATAGCCCGCTATATGCAGAGCTTTGGGTCACGGGAGGAGGTTGTTATATGTCCTCCTGTGACCCTAAAGAGAACTATGGGGAAAACACTTACCCCATAGTTCTCTTTTAACTTTTCTCTGCTGCAGAGAAAAGTCTATGACTCACTTCAGGCTGCACACCACCAACTGCACATTGTGAATAGGTTGTTAAATGCAGGCCGTGGTATGAAGTAGTGCTATGGAGTATAGTGGAGCGCATAAAGTAATAATTGTTCTGCATTATAAATGAGCCCCTTTAGGCTACACTCTAAGCTGAGGGCCAGGTCAACTCCTTCTGTAAGAAGAGGTGTCTCTGAAAACGGCAATTTGTGGTAAATAGGTCAACATTGTTTTGTGCACGCTGCTAGGAGTTTTCTGAAAATGTGCTGCATTTTGAGTTAATGTTATTGCCAGGGTACAAGGTGGGTAACTGTAACGTTTCAGCAATCATAAATATTTTGTCGGAGTAGCAATGTTCTCTGACCCTAGTGGTCCTCTGGTTTGCCTGACTGAAGATCCCAAAGCAGAAACAGACAGACAAAGGTTGGAAGCATAACTAAACTTTTACTTTAGGAACTAATAAGCAGTGATTTACTGATACACAACTGATAAATAGTAAAGGCAACACTTCTCTCTATAGGAAGGTAAAGACCAGGGGTAGGCAGAGTATTTTAGCAGTGGTGCATCTACAATTCCCAGTAGGCATTGCAAGACTCTGACAGCCACAGGCATGACTCCCAGAGATAGATGCATGATGGGATTTATAGGGAGATTTCCTATCCCAGACCTTAAACAGGATGAACAGCAATGGCAGATTTAATGCAGGCGAAGTGCAGCATTCACCAACAACACTCTTTACAGAAGACTGGATGACTGTTTTAGAGTTTGGTGCAATGGAAGAGGGTGACTTCAGCAGAAGTACAGAGCAGCACCTACCAGTACTTTTGGCCATGTCATACTATCTTTTTGTCTCTATGATTACATCTCTATCAGCAATTCAACTGCTCCTATAACATTCCTCCTTTGCTGGATGAAATGATGCAGAATCTCAATTAGCAGGGAAAGACCAGAGAGGGAGCAATACCTTGCTGGTTCAGTCAGCATCTGAGCAACACAGCAGGAGCAATTACATGCTTCTTCTGCCCTCTTACTGATCCTTTCACTGATATCTTGTACCGGCACAAGGATTGCTAGCGTGATATGAGGCTGAAGAGTACTACATCTAAGCTCATCATGACCACCAGTTTCAAGTTTTTTCATAGCTTTTAGCTCTTAAGGTTTTTGGTAACAACCCTCTTTACCTGTTCAGTAAGTGGACCTCCTCTTGTCCCACCACACTGTGCTACATTTTTCTCTCACTACAGGTCTCATCTATCTAGCTCAGATGAGAGTCTCGTAAAAAGGTTTATTCAGACCTATAGACCTTTACCTCTGCAACACTAGCACTTCAACGTAAAGCTCCTCTATAATGTTTACTCATTTAGTGAATACGTATTATCCAACCACAGTTCGATATTCTCCTCTTTAGAGAAAGACAAAAAATTAAAAAAAAAGTATGGGGGAACATTCAATAGCTTGCATCAGCTTGTTTCATGGAAGTATTTCAACAGTGACAGATCCGCTTCAACCAAAATTTAATTCCCCCCCCCCCTAAGACGCCTGAGTGCTTGGTAAAAAATACACACAAAGATAGTCATGTAAATCCAAGTATTGGGGTATGATTTAAGTGCAAATCCTAAAGAAAAACCATATTTAGCAGGAAGAGACATCAGAAGACTCTGGGCTGTATCTCTGCCTCTACTCACACCATCCAGGAAAGGGAATGTTCTTTTCTGCACTTTGATATCTGTCACAGGTATACCGTAGCTCATTAATGGTGTGCACCATTCTAGTCTCTCAGAATAATATGTATAATGTAATATGAATTTTTTTTCCTTCATCTATATGCACAGAAGAAGATTCATCTTTCTAGTTGGCAGAACAAAGATTTGGCAGGAAAATTGTATTTTTTTCTGTTTTAATTTTTTTTCTTTTACTCAAAGAGGGCCTGTCTCTTTGAATTTTTAAAGGGGTGCTTCAGCAAAGGTATTGCATGCAAGGTTGGGAGTTGTTAATATATGAGGGAGTTGTTATCACTTCTCCTCTGACACTGTAGGCATAGACGTGACTCAAGTGGTTGAGGGTTAGAGCAAAGGCTGGGCTATGTATATATAGAAAGTATCTAAATGTTTCCAAAATCATTACTTGAATATCAAAGAATTGCTTATTTATAAATTGATGGCCATAAAATTAGTGACTGACAAATCATCCGTGTTTATTTTACGTAGCTGTCCTGGACCACTTAAAACAATTTCCACTTTTCCATTTAAATAATGGCATAACTCTTCCAGACTGGGTTTTAAACAGCCACAAAAGTCATAAAATCCACATACAGTCTTAGTACCGTATATACAGTAATTAGCAAAATAAAAATCAAACCTTCCAACCCAAGAATGCCCAAACATTCACAAAACTATCCAGCAGGGGGTCTTTTGAAGACATCCAACTACAACATAACTAATTGAAATGCTACAGTCTTTAGCTGCACCACTCCAGCTCAAAGATCACATTAAAGCACATTATCAATCACCATAAGACTGGGCCCTTGGGGCAACCATAGGGATCGACAAATGCTCCTGTTATGGGATTCATGGTTTCTGCAACTGCTCAGTGTAAAAACTTCACCTACAAAAGACCTCTGACCACCAGCCATGACAGATTATCCCCCTTAACCCTATAGATGTAGAGCAGGTTGGTATTACCACATATTCCAAAGTGATCAACTCACCAACCTGACCGCTCACCAACTCCACCCTCCATCTGATTTACTTTGGCAAAACAGGCAAATTCCCTGCTCAACACACTGCACTTTTAGGGTAGTGACACTAAACTCAGGAGTTCAATTTTAAAAATGTTTTACATACCTAAACTATTTACAAATGTAACTATTTTACTAAATGTAACTTATTTGTGTATCACTCGGCCGTAGATCTTCAAATCATCTCTGAATTCATGCGGACACTGTTCTTCCATCTGGAAATTTCAATTCGGAATGAAACAAATTGCACATGTCTAGTTTCTAGTAAAGGGTGTGAGTCTCAAAATGTACTGCTGCCATCAGACACTCTTAGCCTCCCCTTACATAGAGGCTTTCCAGCTCATGGGACATCAATCCAAAGCCAGCTGAGTTAAGAGGTACGCGACCCCACCACTGGGGTCGCATACCTCAGAGAGGTCCATCATTTGTAAGGTCTGTGCCTCATTTGGAACTAAGGATGTATGGAAGTCTTGTTGCACTCCTTACTGCATACCTCTATACCAAGGGGAGGTTGCATGAATCACTTGAAGAAATGTCACCAGGCACCAGCACACCAAACGTCCTTTCAGGATAACCATATGTTCAATTAATGAGAACCATGTCAATATAAAACATTTTATATTATGTTTTATATTGACATGGTTCTCATTAAATGAACATATGGTTATCCTGAAAGGACATTTGGTATGCTGATGACATTTCTTCAAATGATTCTTTTGGAACTAAATTACTCTGTCCCTCTTTCCTCCTCAGTTGTCCCTCTTTTTCGTCGGATATCACAGACCACAGATAAGTATGACTATTACTTTTATCTTATCTCTTAATTATCTTGCTTGGTAATTTGAAAAGCCAGTATAAAAGAAAAACAATGGTGAAAAAAAAAATCAGTTTTGAGTATTAAAGAGAACTAGAACCAACCCTTTTTAGTCCTCTTTTGTGTCACAGGAGTACATTTACTAATGTACTCCTGTGACCCAAAGTCAGCATCTAGCGGGCTACTGGCCACTATTTGGTGAAAGTGCAGAGCCATGCTGCAGCCTGGAAAGGATTACAACAATATTGTCATGATCAACCCCGCTACCTGATTGACAGCTGGCTCTGTCTCAATGGTTCGTGATTGATCAGCTCTCGATCTATAGAGCCGGCAGCGTCACCCGTCGGCTCTAAGTATTGGGAAGAGTAAATTTTTCCCAATACTTCCCTGTCATGTCACAATCCCTTTCACAATCTCAAATTTAATTTACTAATTTATATTGAGATTGTAGTCCATCACGGGAGCAAGCTTGGAACTGTGGCTACTTTACAACACACACAATGAACCATGGGGGGCAAAAGTAGCCACCCTCCAGAAGGAAGGACAGTATCGGCATGAATGCAGAGATGATTTGAGGATCTGCAGCCGAGTGATGCACAAATAAGGTCTAATAATGTTAATACATAGAGTACTTGAATGCATTTTTAAGATTTAACTCCCAAGTGTCATTTTAAACAACTTTGTGTCTA